TATAGGAAGAATATTTCCATTTCCATCCTGTATTATAGCAAAATCACCTAGAAATAATAGAAGAAATTTCCTTTGCTGGGTATATAGAACATATGTATCTTTTTTAGGTAAAGCTGAATGAATTTGACCAAGACGGAAAGCTCCAAAGTACTTTTCCTGCCCTCTTTGTATGTAGGTCTATACATAAGTCATCCCCAAATCACAATTCAGATTACTTTATGGTGCTTTTAACAAAAATGGCAGAAACCTGAGGCATTGACTTTTCTATGAAATCCCCCTGCAAACAGTTTTCAGGCAGTCCTAGTACTAAAACCTACAAGTCTCTAATTTTTCTATGAACTGGTAAAACCAATCTAGGTTTCTGTGGTTTGCATTTCAAACTGCAGTTTAAACAAACAGCTCAGAAGCCAAGATAAGACCCACTTTCATCTCTTTCTCAGGCCTTACATAAATGGCTTTGTTATGAGACAGTAAAACTTTTGGTCACATTTTGTTCTGAAACTCTGCAGATCTTGCTCTTTCCATATTTAAGGAGCCACACTGGATCTAACATAAGACTCTCATTTTTCTCTTCACCTCCAGGCCAGCTGGCTCCCTTGTCCTAAAAGAAAGGAGAAGGCATTCTTGGACTAACTAATCTTACAACAGTTACTCCAGGAATCCTGCACCTTTCTTAAATAAATCCTGAAATTTGCTGACCCACAGGAAACCCCCAGAAAATGCTTGAACAAGGACTGAGACACATTTTCAGTTATGGAAGATCCTTAACCTGATCTGGATCAAGTCACTTAAAAATCCTTCAAAACTAAAGAAACAGTTTGACTCTGTTGACTGGTTCCCTAAAAGCTTTATGGGGAAAACGCCAAAGTCATCTGAGACCTTCTGAAACTTTCACCTCTGTCAGCTTTTCCAAATTCCCATACAGGAGCAACAGCTCCTCCTGAATGGAATGGGTCACATACCATTCCATCGAGTTTTGATCTAGGACTGACCTGCCACCTTCCTTCCCTGTAAATGCCCCTGACCACAAGAGGAATTACACCAGGAATGAATCAGCTCCAGAGTCACACCAATCTTTGCTATGAATTTGATAAAACACCATGAGCAGAGAGGCATTTATCACATAAACCTTAGAATCAAAATGCCCCTCCCTCCTTTACAAGAGAAAAAGAGATTCAATAGATAAATTAGGCATTTAAAGGCTGACACACAAATCAATGAAAAATTCTAATTTGAAGTCTACTACAGCTTATTTAGCTTCTTTCTTGTTGACAAGCAATGCAAATTCACCTTTCTTTGTGCTTTTAATGAAAAGTAAATGACATGACATACCATGAGTTTCATTGTTCTGAACAATCAAGCTAAGTACAGAACAGAGTGGCAGCACTACTAATTATTCCTCCTTTTGTTAATCTGGAGCCTAACCTTAACATCATTTTGCAATACCATCTTTACTGAAGGGAGTTGCTCTTTAGCTGAATTCCTCTCCAACACTCTGGCAGGAATCAGCTTTGTAAGGAAACTATGCTTCTGCCTTTGTGATCCAACACTCTTGAAGGGGTTTAACTAATTCATTACAGTCATGGAGAGTGATGTAGAAATAGTATTTTTTTTCCCCAAGCTCCATTTCAGAATAGAAACACCATTAATTTAAAAGGCACATTTTTGAAACAGCTTCCCTTATCGCTTCTTACCACAACCAGCACTCAAGAACAATGTGAACTGAGACATCTCCCTTTTTTTTTTTCCCAACTTATGCACACAATTTTACTTCAGTTGCATTTCCTATACTGGACTGTCCTAGTGTTTTCTGCTCCTCTTCTCATAAAAAAGTGAATTCAAACATTTCACATCACATCACTGAGAGAGACTTTTAGCACAGGGAATCCACAAGGAGTGTAGAACTATGACCACCACCAGTGTTAGGAGGCCCACTATTGCCCTTCTGTTGAGCAGTGGCAGATTAAAACCCACTGAAAAGTCCCATTTTCCCACTGGAGGAGAGACCAGTATAAGGCATTCAGAACAGTTTTACATGCAATGCATTCATCTACAAATCCATCAGTTTGAAACAGAGAATATCCCAAATTGTATACACAAAAAAAAATTTACTAGCAGAATCACTAAAACAATTCAAGGAATCTGATAGTTTGGGCCTTACCTTCACTGGAGACTATTCAGGTAATTCAATTTTCTTTTCTAGAGTGAAAAATCTCCTCTATTAAAACCAATATATTGAGTTTCTTCAGCTGTTCTTCGTAGGCCCCCTGAATAATTTTTTACCTCTCTGACAGACCCTTTCCAGCTTCCCAATATCTCTGTGGATCTGGAGGGCCCAACACTGGGTACAATATCCCAGTTGTGCTCTCACTGATGCCAGGAAAGATAACAACTTGGCTCCACCTGGCCATGGCCTCCAAAGGCAGTATATTATATAGTTTATCTTACTGGCAATGAGAGCACACTTTGGTTCACAGTCACTTGGCATGGAGTGTAGACCTCCCAAAGCTGTTTTAGGTCCTTGTCAAGAAGAAGAATGCCAAGCCCTGCTGGCAGACACAACCTCACAGCCCCTCTGAGGGTGCCCTCGGTGGCCCCAGGAAAGACACACGGTGAGGAGGAGAGAATATGAACCCCTGCACACAGACAGCTAGAAAAGTTTAATCTCCTCTTTCAAACCTAAGTGTAGTGACACAGTCATAGCCATACTCTAGAGCTAAATACCTCAACAGGTCATTTTCAGCAGTAGGACATTTTGCCAGGACGTGCCATTCAGTTCAAGCCAAGTCAAGGCATGTCAGCAAATGTGAACAAAGAACCCCCTCAATCATTTCTGGCCAGTGAGAAAGACATCCAGTTAGAGATCTCAAGCTTTTAAATCTCACACGAGACATCTTGGCCTTGCTCCATTTTGACGTTTGAGTTCATTCTGATAAGATAAAACATAATTTTGAATGCACCAAAGTTGCTGCCAAACCAATTGTTCTCCTATGGACAGCACGGCTCCATGCAATTTTAATAGATAAATAAAAGATGGCCAGTGTGTGTACATACAGTTCTGATGTTGAAAAACCCATTAAAGCATGAAATCTGCAGATCCTTCAACAAATGAACAATTGTATGCACAGGCTGTCCATGTACAGTAGCACTTTCATGGCAACAGCTCCAGTGTTTTTCATACCACACATTTTTAGACCATTAAGGCCTTGATGTTGTGATAATGACACAGTTTCCAGACAGCAGCAATGTACTTTGTGAAACAATTTCAAGTGTAATGTTTAAGCCAGTGGATTTATAGATGCAGAGCCTGTGCAGGTATGAAGTATGGCTCAGGTGAGCAGTCCATTGGCAGGGGCTTATCTCTTAAAAGAACTAAAGCACACAACCATACCAGTTTACATTACTGAGAGAGAATTCCTCAAGGAAGAGCAATTATGCCATTTAGTACACAAAATTCTCCCGCAGATTTCAATAGTTTCTCTTGGGCATACTTCTTTTCACTAGCAGGAATTTACTGCACGACCTAGTTTTCCTTTCAGAGATGACTAGTCACATGCACACACAAAACCCAAAAACTCTCTAGGAAACACAAGGCTACACAAAGCAAGTGAAGGTATAAAAAGGAATGGATGCCAAGCCCAGGAGAAACGACAGAGCCACCTTACATCCACCTTTCAGAGATGGAACTGACCAATGGCATATCAAGAACAGAGCTGAATATGCCCTTCTTACTCCCAATGCTTCTCTTTCTGAAGATACCCCCAATATCTGTATCATTTTGGTACACCCTGTGTTGTAGGCTGTGAACTCTTTGCTGTCTATATCAGCAAAGGAGGTAGCAAAAGAGCATCTTTGTCTTTGACTAAACCTCAGGAGTCAGTCCTAGCAAGAGCCAGTGATTCCATCAGTTAAAAGGAATTATCAGCTTAGAGAGATCCCTCGTAGAACACCAAGAGGCACGGATGGGCCGACATTCCTACAGCTCAAAGCATTTATTTCCAAGCTCAGCATTTTAAGAAAATGTTTTTTATCCTGGTGTCAGATGCCTTCTGAAATTCTGAGATACTCGCTGTTCTGAAGGAGTACTGAAAAAAATAACCATTTCACAAAACAGCCAGTTGCAAGAGTAAAAGAAAAAAGCCTCCTCTTCCCCCCCTCCACCCCCATCTTTAAACTGCTGCATATTCTACCCACCCTCAACAATAAATTGTAGACATGCAAGATCACAGGACAGATATTTGGCAGCACAGCAATACCATATTTACTTCAGATACTTTAGAATTGGGAGGCAGAAATAAGCAGTTGTACAAACTGCTGCATCTACAGTTTCTTGTAGATGAAGCACTGTCTTCCTCACCTTTCTTCCTCCACCACGGCCCTTCTTGGATGGAGTAGGACAGTTCTTTAAACTCAATGTTCACGGCTGGTCTGCGGGGTAGGTAGGAGAAGCGGTGAGCCTCTGTCAGAGCATTGTCCACCTTTTTTAAGTGTCCATTCATGAGCCGGATGTCTTGGGTGTCTGTGCCGTTGGAGACCACTTCGTCCACCGAAACACACACCGACTTCGGCTCGGCCATGGTGCACCCGGAACTGCTGCCGTTCTGCAGGGAAGGTGGAGAGAGTTCAAAGGCTTCTGTTTAGGAATACACTTCAAACCCCCCTGCACTAGAAGAATTATGATCTAAATAACACAAGAATCCAGCACAGTAACGCGCTGAAAGGCGAAAGAGGAATAAAATAAAACAATCTTTTGTTTGTTCTGCCTGAGCATTGACAGAAGAGGTGAAAGAGCTCTTGCACCACACAGTTCCTTTAGCACTAGTTTCCCTTTTAGGCCTTGCACCAGATTAATACATTTATAAGTTCAGTTCCCATTGTATTTGGTTTCTCATGCACTCAAAGAATTTGGTTCTAGTTACTCTGGTTCCAGGGCTTGTATTGGGACAGAGCTGAAGGGGGAAGGGAGTTGGGTGAACAATTATTTGTGCAGACCTTTCAAAAGACAGCCACTCAAAAAGTCTAAGAGCTCTTGTTCCTCTGGATCAGAATATACTCTGCAAATGTGAAATGTGTTTTATTTCTGCAAATTTTTAAATGCACTATTTTATGCCTTATTTGCTCCTGCACTGATGGTTCTGGAGACTTTGCAACCTGGAACAGTACAATTTCTTTTCTGGAGGTCTTTTAGGAAAGCACACAAGGCTTTCCGCCCAAAATCTTTGTGTGCTTTCCTTGCTTGATAGTGATCCCTAATGGAAATCTTATCAGCTACATAAACATATTAAACCCTGCTCCAGTACTTGCACAGCTGACACTGTAAGGTCAACTGTGCTCACAGCCATACCTTTGCTGTGCTTTGCCCATTACAGCACTCAGTGCAATTCCACTTGGCATTTTTTGGATTGAATCCCCTTCTCCTCCTCTCCTGACCTCTCATGACAAGGGCCTTTCAGCTGCCTTTCTTTTCTTTTTTCACTATGCACACAAAATCTGGACTTCTTCCATTCCTTTTACCTTCACAGGTACCTTGCATCAATATCAACAGAATGTGTGTAAGGTCAAAAGTAAAACACTCATGAATTTTCTTCAGCTGAACATACTTTTGAAGAGTTCAGAGGCTGTTCACTGTCATCTGTTGTTTGGAGGGTGTCATAAGCAGGGCCCAACATCTGCACATTTGTCTATTAGAAAATTCAGTATTTTTAATGCGGATCTGTATTGGAAAAGACTTCTGTAGCTGGTCAGGATTTCCATGTTGGTCCATCTGCCCAACAATCTACATGTCCCCAAAGGTATCTCTTGGAAATCATATGTGCTGCACTACTTTTCAAGGCACTGGTGTTGGACACCCCCAAACAGTGGCAGGGCCAGCCACTGTCTCCCCCTCTTTGTCCTCCAATGCAACTAAGAAGTCACATTGCCTCCTCTTCACTGTGCCACTTCCATCCTCTCCCTCATGATTTCTGTCTTCTCATTTATGCTGCAAAAGCAGTGCAGCTCAGATCAGTCAACTTGTCATGAATGCTGATGAAAACATTAAAAAACAAACAGTCCTACATAATCACTGATGAAAAAAAGTAGTCCTACATAACCACTCTGCAGTTAGTGTCTTCACATTCATGCACAAGCACCAAGTTCTGGATGTAAAAATCAGCTCTGCTTAACACATTTTCCCAAGGAAAAGATTTTAGCTGTGCTCTCAACTTACTCAGAGGTCAGGTATCCAGTAACACTTGCTCTCAATTTCTTAAACAGTTGACTGCAATGGTATGTAATTTGAACATAACAAGAGTAACGTGAAACATCTCAGAACTCAACAATTAAAGCAAGGAAACCTCCCTTTTCCCTAAAAACCAAGAGAAGGCGAGTTAACAATATTCTTCCCTGAATGTTTCCAAGGCTTACTTTGGCACTCATCAGCTGTTTTGTTCAGAGGAACCACTGACCACCTTCACGCATCAGAGGGAATACCCAAAAACTAACTCTCAACGAGCAGGTCACCTTGATTATTCAGGTGACAGTCAGAGCTCCTCCAGTTTGGATCAATTCAAACACCAAGCATCCTTTGGACAAGCTCCTTGTCTCTAACTACTTAATCATCCGGCAGTAGGAAGCCAGAGGCTTTTGCTACCGGGACAATAAACAATTTCAATCACTCGGTGGACAGAAATGCCTGTTGTCAGCAGCCTTTTGTCACACACCTGCCTCCTCTCCAGGGACCACCTGCTACGGGTGAGGGTCCCCCGAGCACCTGGCACGGCACCAGTGGCTCCCAATCGCTTGGAAAGAGACGGCAACTCCCTGACCAAGACACCCACGGACTTACCCGAGCCCTTCGTAAGGCACAGACACACTTGAACCCTCTGTATGCCCCAAACACCCGAACCCTCCGTGTGCCCCAAACACCTGCAGACCGCTGTGATGCTACAGCCCCGCATCCCCGACCCCTGCGCTCCAGGCACGCCGAGAGCGGCCGCTCCCCGCGACCCCTCCGCTCACCTCTCC